CCCCCCCCCCCCCCCCCAGAACAGACCCTGTACAGGCCCTCAAGATATAGGATGACCTGGGAACCAGCACTGTATGGTGTAATGCAGAGTGTCAGATCAGAGCTCAGGAGACCTAGGTTTAAATCCAGCTCAGCCAGGACAACTCACCGTGAAGGTGTGGGGAGCTACAGTAAACCTCTTCCTTAACATTTAACATCCCTGGAAAACCGTGGCCATAATTCGGAAGTAACAACCGTATGCCACCCTGACTGCAAAGTGCATCCCCTTGGAAGTGTGACTTTTGCCTGACTTTCCTTCTTACCTCCAATAATGGTGCGGATCAGGGAGGCGTGTCCCGGGCAGTCCACCAAGGTCAACTGGAGCTGGCCAGGCTCGGGCCCCAGATGTGGGGGCAACTCGGTACACAAGCAGGAGAAGCCCAAGTCCAGGGTGATGCCCCGAGCTCGGCTCTGCGGAGCCCGGTCGAAGGCAGCGGTGGACCCGATGGTGCTCAGGGCCCGAGCTAAGGCCGTCTTCCCGCTGTCGATGTGGCCCAGGACGCCCACGTTCACATTCAGTCGGCGTGGGACGCCGGACTTTGGGGCCAGCGGGACCTCAGCGGCACCGGCCATGGAGGCGCCTGATACCGTTCGCTTCTTTCACAAGCCGGTCCGGCTCCTATCACCACCCCCAAGGCAACACAGGCTCCGTTCGGGCCGTTCCGCCAAAATCGCTGGACGCCGCTCGGGGGAGACCTGCAATTTAAACGGTTTGGCTTTAGTAAAGCATCCGCGGCGCCTACAGGACAGCTTCCCGATAATCACGTTGTGAAACGCGGTTATAAGCCCCTACGTTTTGTCCTTTCTAAAACGCAGAACACCTCTCAGCTAATCAGGTACAGACTCTTCCAGGTACAAAAAAAGGACAAGGACAAACAAAAAGCTATAAAATTCTCAGCTGTGAGTTAATAATTCCTAGGGCTGGAAAAAGCCGGTCTTAAGAAAAATGAGGGAGCCAGAACCCCAATTTCAAACTCTGACAGATTTGCATCAATTCACCATCATTATTTACATCTGCTGATGCAAATAATCACTAAAACAACGATCCACAGGAGATTTTACAAAACAACAGATCTCTGTATTTCTTCCTTGTCATTTCAACAGCTTTCCTTAGGTGTATATATGTGAACACATGTCCAAGAAACACTACAGTATTTAGAACCAATGCACATGTGGATCTACACTGTAATGACCTGTTACATACAAAGACAATTTTACTGACTTGAGAAAATTGAATTACATTATTATAATAAGCATAGCACAAGACCCTAAGGAAGCAAAATGAATACAAATTAAGAAAAGCTGATAGTGTACATCTTGTGTGGCATTTTTATTGTTATTAAACTAGAAATTTTTAAAAAATCTATACATAAAATCTTTTTTCCTTTCCTTTCCTTTCCTTTTTTATGACTGAGAATGTTCCAACTGACTTTCCAGGACCCTCTGAAGGAGACCTCCAGCAATGATGTAGAAGGGGGGTGGCAAGATTTAGTATTGCAAAGGTTATAAAAATACAGCCCTTACAAATCATAAATAAAGAAACAGAAGAGGGCACAAAAACATTTTCCTCGCTTTGCTAATTAAATGTAACACCCATCTCTCCAATTTCCTTTTCTACACATCGAGCTGCCTCTTCACAAAATGTTGCTATTAATTGCAAGAGTTTTCAAAAACTCATGGGAGCAAGGGCAGGAAGTCAGACCTTAGGGATGGGTTAAAATGTGAAGGTCATTCACACACTTACATACTCTTCTCTCTCCAAAAATAATATACTATTTGACAATTTCAGGGTTCAGCATGTCCCACTGAAATTTGGAAGCTTATGTGAAATTAGGCTATGTCCTGTAACCTCAAACGTTTAGTCTAGGAAAAACCGCTCTGAAGTCTCCAGCTCCCTGCTTGGGTATCACATGACGTCTGCACTGAAGAGTAGCCTAGCTGGTTCAGTCACACACACACACACACACACACACACACAGAGAGAGAGAGAGAGAGAGAGAGAGGCATGCGCGCGTGCATGCGTGTGTGTGTTGTTATAAACTGAGAATTCCAGAAGAGATGTCAAGGAAATAAGCTGATCAAACTCAAAGACCAACAGGTCAAATTTTCTTACCAGTATTATTTTCCTGAGAGGTAGAATATCTAGTTATACTGTATACAGTATTAGATTTCTTTCAAACTGAAAGGAAACAAAGTCTTCACATTCTCTTAAAAATTAGTGTTGATAACAGAGACTAATGGTTTATGAATGGCTTTTAAAAATACATTAATAAATAATATTAAAATAATTTCTCTCTGTTTCTTCCACATTATATGGTATGCCCAATCAAAAGCAATAGGAGTTTCAGGCTGAACTTTAGTATTTTTCTATTGAAACTACACATGCGGATTTATATCAGATGTTAGTTATATTACATCCCTTAAATGGTGGTTCTTCTTGTTCAGGTTTCAAGATTTCCTATAAGTCAACTTTACCTGGTAAGTGAACAGTAACTCTTGTGTGGTCTGAAACAATGTTCTTGAAAGCAAAATAGAAACAATATGGGGAAAACAGACTCCTCCTTGTCACACTTGGACAAAGCAAATTTGCTGAGGATAAGAAAAAGCCTATGAAAAGTAATGTAGCAAAAGGCTGCTACTCTGCACATTCACTTCCATTTAGATTTATAGTGGCTCTATCTTTGTCCATAACCACACTTGAGAGTGTGAGAGGAAGGGCTCATTCAGCTCAGACATGGCACCAGTTTTACATTCAAGCTCACAAGAAGAGTTGTTCAGATACTGCTCTTGTCAACTTGGACTAGAGTCCTACATCAAGTCTGTTTATTCAGCAAGTCTCAAGTCTGATTCTCTAAATTATTTAGAGAATCAGACTTCTTTAGAAAGGAGGACTTCAGCAAGTCTCAAGTCTGATTCTCTAAAAAGATCACTCACCTCTTATTTAGAAAGGAGGATGAAAATCTCACGTTCATGCAAATTATGCAAAGTGTCAAAAATTGTTTAACTATTTTGTTCGTGCTCTGACCAATTCCTATTATGTTTGTACTGACATCCAAATTTTTGGTTTAACATAAGTTTCAACACTATTTAGGAACAAAATTGCTGCCTGGTTACATATATCACACAGCTCATTCCTTCATCTAAGAAATATGTCTAATTGCATTCTTAGGGAAGGAGTGGGCAACTTTGACCCTCCATAAGTTTTATTTTCAGCCTATCAGCATAGTCAAAGGGGAATTACTATGGAAACTGCAGTCTAAAAACATTTCTGAGTCATAGTTGCCCACCCCCTCTTATTCCCTAGTAAATTTGGAAAAATAATCACTTTGTAATCTTCCTAAAATTCTTTCAGTAAGAGTGAGAGGGTATATAACTGGCATATAAATATAGTAAATGGATTGCTGAAGGCATGGTTTGGATCAACAGAGGAGAGAGAAAGTAGGGGGAGAACAGGCGAAGAGAAGCAAAGAACAGCAAAGGGAGAAAACGGAACAGCACTGACAGAGGGAGAGGAGAGTGATGGGGGAGAGTTCACTTTCCCTGCTCTTCCACAGATGATCAGATGAAAAATGTAATTGACAGCTGATCAGGCCACAAGGGGTTATTTGCCATTTGGACAGGAGAAGCACAGCATATGACACATTGTTCCTCCCATCAACCTCCATAGACCCTTTGTAGCCTGATCTACCCCACAACCAAAATCACCAATTTGGACAGGTCCCGAGTCTCACTGAAACTTTAAGAAGCCATGCAAAGCTCTGTTATATTTTCAGCCCATCCTAGAAAGCTAGCTCCAAGACTGTTTAAAAGTAATAAATATTCTGCCAGAAGTCAAAATAGACACAAATGAATTATTGCACAGTAAAAATCTGTGTAAATAAATAATTGCAATTTTAAGCAATGAAAATGTAACCTGTGAGGCATTTGAACTTCAGATTTTTTTTTGCCAGTATTTAAAGGCTGAAATTGCTGTGGACACCTCTAAACATTGAACACTATGTGTGGGGAAATTGTTTTTGGCTCTGTGCCTAATCAGCTATTCAACTGAAAGATGTAACAGACTTTTTAAAGTAGCTCAAGCTTTTGTAATTTCAAAACTAAGGACAGAGGATTTACATGGTACAGGGAAGTTTACAGGACAGTGGATCTGTAAATGACACAGACTGCATGTAAAGAAAAAGAGCCACTTACAAAAATATTTTTAAATATAAAGAACATAAAATAAACAAAATTAATAATTTTTTAGAATATAAAACAATCCTCCTACAGCTATGTTTACTCTTGCAACATTATTCTGCCATAGGAATACTCCCAATACTACTGGCTGTATAGCACAGTAAGTTGGCCCCTGGGTGTGGAACCAGAGGTTGGGAATTCAAATCTCCACCGTGCATCCCAGAAAAACCAGGCTGTGTGGTTTTGGTGAACCAGAGGTTGGGAATTCAAATCTCCACGGTGCATGGTTTTGGTCAAGCTGCACAGTTCCAGAATGACCCCAGAAGAGAATGGTAACCCACTTCTAACTACTCTCCATTCCACATACAGGAAAGGGGCGTCCTATTGAGGCCATATGACTATTATTAATAAAACTGCAGGAGATCCCGCGGACAGAGTGTTAACCTAGAGCTCCAAAGACGCCTGTTCAAATCCTTGCATGGTCATAGAAACTCATTGTGGGAGATGACACCGGTAAAAGGACTTACTAAATATTCCACACTCCTTGTTAGGGTAACCATAAATCTGATTCGACTTATCGGCACATAACACTGTAACTGCTAAAAGTTTTGTTATCAATGCTTAAAAGCTCGGTCCTTTTCCTAGCGTCACTCCCATTCGTGCGGTACTCTCATTGTGCAGTTCGCAGTGAGCCCGGAGGGTTTTCTAGGGAGCACAACACTAAATTGCCCCCCCTCCGCCGCCGCTGCCCCGTATGACGCTATATTAAGTGACAGCAGATGTCTCCAACAGCAAGCCACGCTCCTCTCAAGGTAACCAATGCCTTGGCGGAGGCGGGAGGAGCGCCCGTGGAGCGCCAGGAACCTTGGAAACCAGCGGGGTCCCCCTCCACGTTAAGGTGCGCGTGCCGGCGTGGAGAGAGCCGAGCCGGAGCGGGGTTTTTCCTGCCGCCTCTGACGACCCGCCGACGGGATGAAGATCGAGGAGGTCAAAAGCACCTCGAAGACCCAACGCATCGCCGCCCACAGCCATGTCAAGGGTCTCGGGCTGGACGAGAGCGGGGCGGCCAAGCCAGCAGCAGCCGGGCTGGTGGGCCAGGAGAACGCGCGGGAGGTAAGGGCGGCTCTGACCACTAGGTCGTCGTCCGCCGCCCCCCCCCTCTCTCTCTATATATATACATATACATATATATCTATATCTATCTATCTAATCTATATCGATCTATATCGATCTATATATATATCTGAATTTATCTATCTATCTATCTATCGATATATACATATCTATACATATCTATATATATCGATAGATAGATAGATAGATAGATAGATAGATAGATAGATAGATAGATAGATAGATAGATAGATATAACGGGGCCAGAGGCTGCGTATCTTCTTTCTCTGTGCCAGACCCTGAAACGAGCTGTGAGGCAGCCTCTGACTGGAAGTATAGGTTGCCCATAATCCTACACAGAGCTTGGGGAAATTATTTTTTGGACCTTTTAACTCTCAGAATCCACCCGCTGGTATGACCCTTGGGGATGAGGGGGAGCTTTGGTTACTCTCCAGACTTTGGTTTTTAGGGCCTCGTCAAGAGGATTTCGGAAGGTTTGTTCGACCATCTTCTCTGATGCTGGACATCTTACATCAATTACATTCAGTATGCTTGCTATACTGCATATGCCATCAAGTCGCATTATAGTGACCCTAATTGGGCTTTCAAAGTTAATGGGATATTTAAAGAATGGTTTTACCAGGGTCATCCCCCAAGGGTTTCCATGACTGAGCTAAGATTTGAGCTGAGGTCTCCAGAATTCCATTCTGTTGCTCTGTATACAATGCCACTCTGTATTTCTTGCTTACCTTATTCTTTCTTAAACTTCTACATAAAGAAAGTCAGTGGTCGTTCCTGGTGAATTGCTTGGAAATTCTACTAAATCTTTGACCTAAATCTCATTCTGAACTTAAATTTTTGGCTTATTTTCACAGTTGTGTTGTTGGTAGGACCTCCCTAGCCAACAGACTGAGCAGTTAATTCTTCTCCAATTGGATGTTGTATCACTGGGAAAGTGTGTGTATTGAATTTTAGGCTATTACACATTCATCACCATTCACTGTTCAAAGAAACACCAGTGTAGCTATGGTCTCCAATTTGTTTCCTAAGTACTGTACTATGACATTAAGCAATAGAAAACAGGCACCACCACCTTTTTTTGTATGATGAGAGATGAACTAGATGCTATCAGAACAAAAGGTATAGTTTGACCATTCTATATTGTTTCTTGGGTAGTGTCCAGAATAATAGAACACATGAAATGATGTAGTTGGATGTTTTCCTCTCCTCTCCTCTCCTCACATTGTCATGAGACTTGTATGCAGAAGAGTGATGCCTTTCTTTCACCTGTTTCAAAACTGCTTGCATGAGTTATTTAATGAATTTATGCAAGCCAAGAGGCATGCATTGCTCTTGTATTTAAGTGCAAGCTGTTTTATTTAATATAAAATCTCCTGTGCCTAAGCTCGCACAGGAATTACTAAAATGATGTTTATGGATTCAGTCTAGTTTTTATGCTAATTGTGTTAACAAATGTACTGCTTGCATGAGTTATTTAATGAATTTATGCAAGCCAAGAGGCATGCATTGCTCTTGTATTTAAGTGCAAGCTGTTTTATTTAATATGAAATATCCTGTCCCTAAGCTCGCGCAGGAATTACTCAAAATGATGTTTATGGATTCAGTCTGGTTTTTATGCTACTTGTGTTGACAAATGGCCAGAGTGATGGTCAGAACACTTTTCCTATGAGGAGGAGAGTGTTATCTTTGTCATTTTCCTTCTTTTTCTTCACCCACTGCTCCATCTCCCTCCCCTTATGAGGGAATTCCACAGCTTTTAGGAGCAGATTTTAAGGGGTTTCTAGAGGGCTGTGGAGAGGGAGGGGAATTAGTGAACATTGCCCCACCCCATTTGTGCTGGCAAGGATCTCCTGCTGGATCAGAAAACTTATGCTGAATCTAACAATTGTTCTAATTTTATAGGCCTGTGGTATTATCGTGGAATTGATCAAAAGCAAGAAAATGGCTGGCAGAGCTGTGCTATTAGCAGGACCACCTGGAACTGGCAAGGTATTTGTGCTATTTGTGTCAAAAATGTTTTTTTTAAAAAAAACAGAATTATAAGCTCGTGGTGGACTACTCTAGGCGGCCATTAAATATTAAATATTTTGAGGTGATATTAGCTCACTATGATGTGTGGTACTGTAAATTGTTGGCATCAGCAATAGCCGGTCTCCCCAGCATTTAGAAGAAGGACACTGCAGGTTTTTGGCCTACTAAGTGACAGTTGAAAACAACAACAGTGAAATGTATGTGAAATAGTCATACAGTTTTTACATAATAAGAATTTTATTGGGAGTTATCATTTGATTTATCATTATAAATTTTATTGGGAATTGTCAACAGGTACAGGGATGATATCTGATAAGGGATGTGATGTCAGTAAGCCAGCATGCCAACAAGAAATATACGTCGTGAAGAAGACCATAAACATGTTCATTAGAGATGGGGGTATTTGTATACAAATAAACCCCCACAGCTGGAGATAACGAGAGTCCAGCTGATTAGAGATGGGGGTATTTGTATACGAATAAACCCCCAGAGCTGGAGATAACGAGAGTCCAGCTACCTGGGGCCAGACCGTCCACTCACTGTTCCACTGCTGCCGTGGGCTCCACACTCCCTTCCTATCCAGAGCACCTGGTCTGCGAGCCGCTCTTCGATCTGGCGGGGAAACTCATTGTCCCGCCTCCTGCCAGGAGTGGCTAATCCACCGCGAGCTCCAGAGCGATAGGAAGAGAGTGCGGAGCCCGCAGCAGCTGCTGAATGTTAGAGATGAATATTAGAGATGTGGATATTCGTATACCCCCCTCCACCTGGGGGGAGATATACGAATATCCACATCTCTAATATTCATCTATCAGTCAGATTTTCTGTGAAGTGAAATTCTGACCTCATATCTTTGACATGTTACCTCTGGTATTCATAGAGGCAACCCTCCTTGGGGTCCATTTTACTGCCTTGTAGTAATAAGATGAGAGGAGGATCAACACTGCAGAACAATTGGCCCTCTCACTTTGGGAGTTTATATGACTGAAGTCAAAGCCCACCACCAGTGTCTTTGCTTGTAGAAGTAACTGCTACTTATATATTTATGAAGTATGTTAGAACAATGATAGAAATAGTATTTATGCTTAACATTAAAAACTCTATTAAAAGTTTGCAACACCTGGACTTAGTTCTCCCCAAAGGCTTTGCAATTGGCTGGTAACATCCTGTTCAGGATACCATCTTCTTCAGATGACAGATTAATATCAACTAGGATTGAGGCTTTTCTGACTCTTGAATTATAGCATTTCTTCCCCGTTGAGGCCAGAATTATTTGGTTTGCCCAAAAATGTTCTTTCCTCAAATGCAAAGTATTCTGTTCATAGACAGACTGGGATCCAGTGGAGACTTCTAAAGGGAAAGCAAGAGGAGCTGAGAGTGATTTTTCCATGTTCCCTCCAGCCCCTCCTGCTACAGTGTTTTGAATGGTCCAAGAACCTCCAGAACAACATTTTCTAGAATGGAAAGAGAAAATGGCAAGAATCACACTTCTTCTAGTGAGAGCAACTCTGGAGCACAGTTTTAGTTACAGAAACTGTGGATACAAACAAAACTTTAATATGTTGATGGTGATCCATTGATTCCCTGTTCATTTTTATTTTAAATTTTATTTATTTATTTAGGAAATTTGAGGGTTACATGTATAATAACTTAGTTTTCTTTCTCTTTTTAAAAAATAGACAGCTTTGGCTCTAGCTATTGCTCAGGAGTTGGGTAGTAAGGTTCCTTTCTGTCCAATGGTTGGAAGTGAGGTGTACTCTACTGAAATAAAGAAAACTGAAGTGTTGATGGAAAATTTCAGAAGAGCCATTGGTAAGTATCTCAAAATTGAAGAATGAATAGTTGATGTATGTTTGTTTTTTCAACTGAATAGTGTATGCTGGAGGTTCTTAACCTGTGATCTGTGGACCCCCCAGGAGCTTAGGTTCTTAACCTGTGGTCTGTGGACCCCCCAGGAGCTTGCAGTATCCTCACAGGGGCTCCACAAAGGCTTGAAGAAATGTTATGATCTTTTGCAGTTAAAATAGAAAGAAGGAAAGAAAAAAAATCTTAATTTCCCTTGCTTGTTTGTGTAAACCCTAGCTTTTTAAACCTACCTCCTCTATTCAAAACAAAAGTAAAAAATCAGTAATGAAAAAAACTGCTTGACAGCAGATAAATATTTCTCCACATATGGTGAGACCACGAAGTGAATGATGCTGAGTGGCTGAGCGACTGCATGTGATATTTCTTACTACTGTGGAGACAGAATCTGCAGGAAGAGAGACTAGGAGTCAATGTCAGTTCATGTGACATTTCTTACTACTGTGGAGACTAGGAGTCAATGTCAGTGTGAGTGATCAGATGGACTTCATGATTGTGTTTCTTTGATTTTTGCTAATAAAACCATTTGGTTATTGTCTGGTAAAGTGAATTTTCTATATTATCACAATGAATTTCATAACAATGCATTTTGGCTGAGCCTCGGAATGAATTGTTAGCTGAATTTGAAAAATAAAATAACTGATGATGTTGATGAGGATGCATCCTAATGAAAACAAAATTAAGCTTCTTCCAATCATCTTTTAAAAGTGTCATCATTATAGCAAGGAATGATGAGACACTTCATGAGAAACTTAAAATAAATATTTTATGAACTTTAGCATTTTAAATCTGGAGTTAAATCTTGGTGGTCTGTGACAACAAAATATATTTAAAAGGGGTCCATGTACCATCACGTCTGTATATTACTGTTCAGAATATCACACAATATTTATGTAGTTTTATTATGGTAGACGTCCATCTCTTGCTTCAGTTTTCAACATTTAGGGCTAAATCCAACATAAGTCTGTAAGTGGAATCGATGTAGGCATCCTTCAGTCTCGAGAGACTATGGTAACATGCTCTGAATAGAGGTCTTGGAATAGCGTCTAGTGTGGCTGAAAAGGCTAATTTGAGAAGGCTAATTCCCTTCCACACTGAAGGCAAATACAATCTGTCCAGCTCCCTGATTTTGCTGGTTTCAGCACTGCCTCTTTGCCTTGGCCTGTTGGACAAGCGTCTCTTCAGATTGGGAGAGGCCATGATGTACCACCTGCCTCCAGGCTGAACGCTCAGATGTCAGGGTTCATCTGTTGAGGTCCATTCCTAAGGTCTTCAGATCCTGCTTGCAGATATTTTTGTATCGCAGCTATGGTCTCCCTCTGGGGTGATTTCCCTCTACCAATTTTCCATACAGGAGAGCTTTTGGAATCAGCCATTCACTGGGACTGAAATAAACTTAGATTAAACAAGCTCTGTTCATTTCAGTGCATCTAGTCCAGGTAGGACTAACATTGGGTTTACTCCTCTGTTAGGGTTGTTCAGGTGTCTTTGCAAGCCCTATGGATGTTTTCTTCAATGTGTCAGTTTAGCTAAACCTCACCAGTCAAAAGCAGTATGGGAATTCTGTTCAGCTTTTTTGCAGTCTCACACTGTGTTGCTAGACAAATTAGAGGAAGGCTCCTGTTACTAACAAGATGAGTAGCTTCTCAATGAAGTTAATTTTCTCTTTAGTGCTTGTGGATTAATCAGCTGAGTCGTTTTATGTTTCAGTTTGTCAAGATGAACAGTTGAACTTGCTAACAAAACATTATACCTATAAAGTCTTCCTATGTTACTGTTTGCTGACAGCTGATAAAACTATCTTTGCAGACGTTTGGATTGCTTAAAGATAGCTTGATTGTTTTTATTATTGGGCCCGACATCTGTTAATTCCCCTGGGCTTTGTATCATGATTTACCACAGACTTCATTTAAGTATTCATTGGCATTAAGGTGAAGAAACATTTCCATCAGTCCTTCCGAATGAAAAAAAAGTGCCCCATTGATTTCTGTAAGAAAGAGATTCTCAATCATCTGTGGTCTTCAGGTTACAATTAAATTGGCAGGGTTGAGACAGGGAGAGTTCAGAGATGGCGAGAGAGCAGTCTGTAGTATTTCCTTCATGTGGTGCAGTTCTCTGTCAGATTTGGAAACTTGAACCAGCAGTTGAAACCTGTGTCATCCATGTTTGTCATTCCTAGAGACGGCAGTAATTTAACATTGTTGGTGCTCACATTCCCTGGATATCAGCACAAAGATGTTTCTAAACAAGTATCCAACATTAGTGAAAGACAGGAATTCTTCTATACTAATCTGTTGAATTTCATGTCTGACTTAGCTTAACAATTATTATTACAACATTATTTGAGAAATATTATTTTCTGTTTTTAATGACAGTCCAAAGATTTTTTGGAACTAGTAGTTGCTCACTCTGCTTACAAATATGTTCTCATTCTTGTCCCAGTCATCCAGATATTCCCTTTTGAATTTAAAATGTCTCAAATGGTATTTTGAGATGTAAAGCAACAGCAGTAGTTTTGAAGAGTGTTTCAAAGTACAAAGTTGCTTTGGGACACTCACTAATGGCCCCGGCATGAGTTCAGATGGATTGTGAGTACATCAGAGAACCATTTGAAGTAACAACTGGGTCTTGAGTGCAGTTTTGTCATGTGTGTGTTTCTGCCCCCTAAGAGAAGTGCTGCTGTTCAGCATGCCAGACAGTCCAAAGCAAAAACTTTGCACTACTTTTGATGTTTGGGAGGCAAAAAGGGTGCTTTGCTTACTGATAGGAAATATTTTGTCATAACAAGGCAATTGTCTTTTGTACATTTACCTGGAAGTAAGTCCCATTGACTTCAGTAGGATTTTCATTTTGAGTAGACATCCCATGATTTTGCACTGTACATAATGTTTAATGTTTACTTTTTCTGCTAAAGTTTGCAGTTGGATCTGCTTGGTACTTTTTAAATTGTTTAAATAAATGTCCATAGATAGATTAACAGATAGACAGATGTGATGGGCTTTTTCTGTAGGCATACCAAAGTCTTTCTATAAGGGGTACTTCTTGGTCCTCCTCCCCCCCCCCCAAATTTTACTAAATATATAATTTTTTTCTTGAGAGTATCGGAGGTGGCCAGTGTAAATGGCAATCTGTTTGTATAGCTTTTATAATCATTATTTTACAGGGTTGAGAATTAAAGAAACCAAAGAAGTTTATGAAGGTGAAGTCACAGAATTAACTCCATGTGAGACTGAGAACCCGATGGGAGGATATGGCAAAACCATTAGTCATGTCATCATTGGTCTCAAAACTGCAAAAGGAACCAAACAGCTGAAGGTAGGCATAATTATTTCTCACATAGGTCTTGCCCTAATAGCACATTTTTCTCTTTTAAGTCAAAGTGATCTGAAAACAGATTATTATAGGCATTATCTTAAGTATGATTTACCTTACATAACATCTTACATTGTCCTACATCAAGGATGGCAAAATGACAGCCCATAGAGGAGAAAAAGGAAGGCTCCTGGAATAGTAGCTCATTTATAGAGCATTGTAAAAAGCCCCCACTCCACCCCAATGCCTGGTTTTGTCTCCAGAACCTCAAAAAATGTAAAGGTTGACTTCCACCCACTTCTCAGTTGGCTTGACTTGAGGAGGGTTCCAGGGATAAAAAAACCTTGCATTTTTAATTTTGTCTAGAACCAAATTGGTAGCCATTGCAACCACTGTAGGGCAGGTGTGATGATGTCCCACAGGCAACCATGCACCAGTACTCTCAGTTTCATAAATCTGTTTGAACACGACCTCACACAAAATGTGTTGCAGTAATCCAGTCCTAGTGTCAGATAAGATAACTGATGCTTGGCCATCCTTAGGAGTCCTACAGAATTTTATTTGTACTGTAGGACACCTATACTCCCCTCAGTCATCCTTTAGCACCTCATGGACACAAAATCTCAAATACAGTGGTGTCGCATAACGATTGCTCCATTTAGCAATGAAATCACTTTGTGGTGGACTTTTTGCCATTGCAAGAGCGATCGCTTTGCGATGGCCCCTATGGGGAAAATTCACTTTGCAGTGATTGTGGGAGAGCGCTCCCCTACGATCATCGCGAAGCCCCCGCCGGTCAGCTGTTTCAAAAAACGGGCTTTGCGCTGCTCGCTGGGAAGCACTTCCCCGGAGCAGCCCAAAGGCTCACCTTTAGGAACAGCTGACCGGCGGGCATTTGGGCTGCTCGTGGCGAAGCACTTCTCCAGGAGCAGCCCAAATGCCCGCCCCTCAGCTGTTCCTAAAGGCTGGCGTTTCGGCTGCTCCGGAGAAGCGCTTCTCCGAGAGAAGCCCAAATGCCCGCCCCTCAGCTGTTCCTAAAGGCGGACGTTTCGGCTGCTCCCGAAGAAGCACTTCCTTGAGAAAAGCTGGCGTGCGCTCAGGAGGAGGGCGGGGGAGCCTTCCCCCACCCTCCTGGCCAAGCGCCGGCCGGTCAGCCGGCCAAAAAAGCCAACGTGTGCTCGGGAGGAGGGCTGGGGAGCCAATATGGATTAAGTTCGTAAGTCGAGACCCCACTGTATGCCTTCATTTGGTTAGCAAAAAGATCTGAAGAGAAGTCTCTAACCTCTCAGCTGAACATGCTTACAGAGCTCCTAGTCATGGTAGGTCTGTGAACATGTTGCTTAAGCATGCTGACAGGCTCTGATTCAGAGCTTCTTGGTAATCATACCAGGTAATCATAGAAAAGTCTGAGTGACATGAGTCAGTTGAGGAGGTGCATCCGTGCTCCTTTCCTTTCTACCAACATGTAACACAAACGTAGTCTTCAGTATGCCTTAAGCAGCCTTCCTGCTGTTTCAGGCATACTGCTTGCTTAAGGTGTAGATCTCAGGAAAATAGTAAGAATATGTTTCGTTTTTTACACTTATTCAGATAGTTTCTGTTTGGCACAAGGCAGTAATATTTATAAGACAAATGTATTATATTTGAAAATTAGCAATTTGAAATACAACATGGAACTCATACATGATGAGAAAAAAATGGGTACTACGTACGGTACATTAAATCATTTCTTAGTAATATGTGAATTTGTTATGACTGGCATTTCTAAATTTAGCCCTATAGAATGAGGTATAAACAACAGTTTCCTGTTTTCTGATACTAAAAATTTGGGTTTTCTTTTCATGTTTCCTCTTGGTTTGTAACAGCTCTCAGCAGATACTTCTATTTCAGTAACTTGTGTCTTAATAAGACTGATGTTTTTTTCTGTCATCTCTACTTGCAGTTGGATCCTAGTATATTTGAAAGTCTGCAAAAGGAAAGAGTAGAAGTTGGTGATGTGATTTACATCGAAGCAAACAGTGGGGCTGTCAAGGTAAAACAACAAAAAAGTGCATCCTTTCACATAGTGGCTGCAGTCCTCTTGCTTAGAGTAGCGAGTTGCGAATAAGTAGGCCCATTGAATGAGTGTGGATTTGGCGAGTGAATTTCTCCAGAAGATCCTTTGATTTGTTGGACCTACACTCGTTGCAACTTACTGTGCTAAGCAACAAGATTTCAGCCACTGTACTTCAACAAGGCTTCTAGCCTGCTTTCATCAAAGCTGTGTGTTTTCCCAAGCTTAATTTTCTAGGAAATCTAGAAGAACCTAGGAATTTTTTTTTCTTTTGTTTGCATGAAATGAAGACACCACCAAAGAGGAATGATTACTTGATACATAAACAAAATCATTTGGTTGTGGAATGCTAGTTATATAGGTGAGAAGGAAATATCCACAACTATAGTTGCAGACAAACAAAAAAAGGGATCAAACCTTTAGCTTATATCTCTCTAGTGCTTTTGCCATAAGATGTATGAATCCAGAAAATAAAGCTATGTTAGTTAACATGTTCCTTGTAGGAGCCTCGTGGCGCAGTGGTTAAACTGTTGTACTGCAGCCAAATATGTGCTTATGGGGTTCAATCTCAGATAATTGGCTCAACGTTGACTCAGCTTTCTGTCCTTCCCAGGTTTGTAAAATTAGTACCCAGCTCACGGGGGAGGGGGTGAATGTGTAGCCTATATAATTAAATTGTAAAACACCCAGAGAGTGGTTGTTCTGTGTTTTTCGGGCTCTTTGGCCATGTTCTGAAGGTTGTTCTTCCTGACGTTTCGCCAGTCTCTGTGGCTAGCATCTTCAGAGGACAGCAACCTGTACTCTGGTGTAGTTGGCTTGGGAGTTGGCCAGAGAGTGCTTTAAGTGCTGTAGAGCAGTATAGAAGCAGCATGCTTTGGCTTTTTGTTTGTTTGTTTTAGTTTGTTTTTTGTTCCTTATATCTGAATTAGAAGATGGTATAGAGCAGTGATGATGAACGTTTTTGATCCTGAGTGCCCAAAGTGCAACACAAAACCAACCAAATAGGAAGACCTATTTGTGCCCGGGGAAGAGGCTGGAGGACCCGGATGCTTGCACCACAGCCAAGTCTGGGCATTACTGAAGAAGATGCCTCACCGTGGGTGGCGGGATGGAGGCAAAGTGGCTGGATGTGGAAGAAATGTGGTCAAAGGCTGGCATGGGGAGGGCCAAGAAGGGGGGAGGAAAGTGCGGGCGAGAAATCCGAGGCACCCTATGCACCGAGTCCCAGGAAAAGGTGTCCACATTCGCTTACCCACAGCTCTATGCCCCAGTGCATGCTGGCTGTACCTTCGCTGTGCGCTTTTGTTTTCTCCCGCAAACCCACGCAAAACCTGAGTCACTGCCACCACAACCATCCTGAAGAGTCCCACTCCTCCGGCCGCACAACCTCCAGCTCCTGCCCTGGACACTCTCTACTCTGCCTCTGGCTGCAGTCCTTAAAGGTGCAGGCGGCAGGAGCTGGGTGTTTTCATGCCTGGTGTCCAAGCAGGAGTGTGTGTGTCCGTGTGTGTGTCTTTGTGGCAGTGGTGGCCAGCATGGACCACTGCATCAGCAAGAGAGGCGTGCCAAAATCTGGATCAGAGGACAGGTAAGTATTTCTCAATGGTGACTTATATGCCATGTGTGCCGTAGATTCACCATCGCTGGCATAGAGAGATTCTTGGTGTTAAATTGCTGAACATAGTATTTTGTATCAAACAACAAATCATCCATGTCTTAAAAGAGTCTGGGAGAGCTCATCTGCTGGATTTGTCCTTTAGTAAGAACTTTATGCATTTAGAACAATGAAGAAAATTCTGGGTGTTTTCAGTAGAATTTCAGCCATTCAGTTTCCAAGGACAAGCATGGCACTTCCAGAACTGTCAACCAGAGCCTTTTGGGCCCAGAGGTGTAAAACAAGGCATTTGATTATCAGTTATATGTCATTGTGAGTACTGTATTAGTGGTAAGATTAAATATAAGCATCGTGCATGTGACTATTAAACTTGTCTTCACAGAGGCAAGGCCGGTGTGATACGTATGCAACAGAATTTGACCTTGAAGCTGAAGAGTATGTTCCCTTGCCCAAAGGTGATGTGCACAAGAAGAAAGAAATCATCCAGGATGTTACATTGCATGACTTGGATGTTGCTAATGCTAGGCCCCAGGTACGGAATTCTGCTGGTGAAATACTTTGTGCTAAAAAATAAAAGGAGTGCTGCTGGTGAAATACTTTGTGCTAAAAAATAAAAGGAGTGTATTTCTTCCATTTTTGAGAGCAGGTGATACTGCCCTGTTCCTATGAGGTAACTCAACTTCAGGGTTTTCTTCATTTTTGCCTCCAGAGACACTTCAAGCTTGATTTGCTCTAAGACCTACTTGTTCATCTTTCTGGCAGTCCAGGATATCCTCAAAGCTGTCTTCCAGTACCATATTTAAAATGAATTATTTTTTTCCCATCAGCTTTCTTTACTGTCCAGTTTTCACACACATACATGGTGATCAGGATTACAAAAGTGTGGATGAGCTTGGCCATGGTCTCCAATGACATCTCCTTAGACTGAGAGGCTTAGCATTCAAAATACTTCAATTTTTTTTTAGATCTTGTCCTGAGCAGACACCTGTCATCATCCAATCCTGAAGTGCATGTAAATGAATAGACTTAATAGATAATATGTGTCTAGACATTTCTGAATTACCCTTAGAATGCTAGAGTTGTAGATTAGTGAATGTGAATAATAATGATGGAATAATCACTCATTATCAGAAAGCTGTATATTTTTGAAATCCTGAAATGAACGGTTTTGCAAAATTATAGTGTTTGTGGCTCTTTCTCCATTAGCAGTATTTCCGTATCAGTAAAAGAATATATTAATTTCCAAGTTCATTTTTTGTAGGGTGGGCAGGATATCCTCTCCATGATGGGGCAACTGATGAAGCCTAAGAAAACTGAAATCACAGGTACAGAAACTGCTGATTTTTCTGTTTCTTCTTATGTGTATATATCCTTTCCCACTGAACCTCATGGGATCTGTTTGTATAACATTGCATCCTGAAGTTCAGAAAAGGCCAAGAGGGGTAATCATGAAGTACATAGGAAATGTGTGAGTTGTGATGCACCGTGCTGACACAACTGAATCAGTTTTGAAAGGTAACATATCTCACAGTTCTGACCAAGATCTACTTGTGTTATCAGCTGATCTAGGAAGAGGTCCATGCAGTGATTGCAGCAACACTTTTGCCTTTTCCCGCTCCTACCTTTCTACCTACCACACATAACTCTGCTTTCCCAGACCTTTGAAGGGGGAGGGGCTGCAAGGGAGAGGGGAAATTGCCTCCCCATGGATCCATCTTCCATCAGCTTAAGTACCAATCTGAAACTAGTCTCAGTAATTTGAGCCTAGTTATTTTACTTATATATTGAAAATATTTTATCCTGTCTTTCTCCTTAAAAAGCCCCCAATACGACTTGCATCATTAAAATCCTTAAAAAGCCCCCAATACGACTTGCATTATTAAAATACAGTATTTAAAGGTGAAAACAATAAGTATAAAAGTAATAAAAAGGATTTTTAAAATCCACACCGAAAGATGGTAAACAAAAGTAACACCAAGAATCTATTCAAAGCAGTAAGGCACAACTATCCATTTAAAAACTTCACTCAGGTAGCCAGTCGCTAATGGAAAGCTTGGCTGAAGAGAAAGGTCTTCACCAGCTTGCAGAAGGATGGGGCCAACCTGACGCTCTGTGTGAAGGAGTTCTAAAGTCTGGGAGGAGCAACAAAGAAGGCCCTCTCCCGTGCCCTCACCAAACACACCTTTGAAGATGGTGAGACTGAGAGAAAGGCCTCTCCTGATCATATTAACACCTGAGCTGCTTCACAAAGGTAGACGTCCCTGTGACCAGCCCCAGTTACCAAACTGGCTGCCAAGTTTTGGACCCTAGTGATATTTCTGGGCATTTTCCAGAGGCAGCCCCACATAGAGTGTGCTACAGTAATCTAGCTGGGATGTAACTAAGTCATGTGTCACTCGGACCTTTCCAGGAACAGACACAGCTGGCACACTAGTTTTAATTGTGCAAAGGCATTCCTGGCCACCACCAAATTCTGGGCATCCAGATTTCTCAGAGACAAATCTTGGAGGACCCTCAAGCTAGACACCTGTGTTTTCAGAGGGAGTATAACCCCATCCAGCAAATGCTGCATCCCTATTCTTTGATCTGCCTTTCAACTGACCAAGAACATCTGTCTTTTTTATTGAGTTTCAGTTTATTCATTGTAAATGAAAATTTAAAGTAAAAAAATTTAAAAGCTTCCTGTCACTCTGTTTTATGTTCTGAAATTCCCTAAGGCTGTGTTTCATCTTGGGGATACCTTTGGAATCCTCAGGATTGAGGGGATGCCTTTAATCATCAAAAGTTGCCACCAGATCATTACTACTGGGATTTGGACTGCTTAAAGATTCTCCTGCCCCAGATCCTGAGTCACCCAAAGACTTTCCCAGGGCAAAAGTGAGCCATAGGAAGCTTCAAACTTAAAATGGAGATAGAAAACTTTTGATTAATTAATTTTTGCCAGTGTTAACTGATAAAATAATCAGCTTTGGCCAACATACAAGTGTCTCTTCATATCGGATTTTGGCTAGTATGTGAAAATCAGAAACAATGGGGAAATCCTCTTGTTTAGCTTAGTAAATTGCACTAGAGTCAGCTCATTGAATCATTGGAAATTGCACTAGAGTCAGCTCATTGAATCATTGGAAATTTGGTGAGTCAGTTCCTTTGTAAGTTCTGTAGAGGGAAACAAATTTGAACATGTGCTATATGCGTTGTCTCTGACGCATTTTTGGTATCACCTGTCAGGACAGGGTTCCAAATAGAGTAGTCCTAGAATGAGCTGGAATTTTTAGCATGCATACATTACTGAAATAGCGACATCTACATTGGCTTGGGCATGTTGTGAAAATGGCTGATGGTCAGATTCCAAAAGATCTCCTGTATGGAGAATTAGTGCAGGGAAAGTGCCCCAGAGGAAGACCACAGCTGTGATACAAGGATATCTGCAGGCGGGATCTGAAGGCCGTAAGAATGGACCTCAACAGATGGGAAACCCTGACATCTGAGTGTTCAGCATGGAGACAGGCGCTGCAGCACGGCCTCTCCCAATTTGAAGAGGCACTTGTTCAGCAAGCCGAAACAAAGAGGCAGTCCTGAAAGCAGCAAAACCAGGCAGCTGGACAGGGAACAGATTGTATTTGCCTTCAGTGTGGAAAGGATTGTCACTCTCAAATTAGCCTTCTCAGCCACACTAGACGCTGTTCCAGGACCTCTGTTCAGAGCACGTTACCATAGTCTCTCGAGACTGAAAGATGCCTACTACTAACTGTGATTTACTTCAGCATAGGAAATCGTCGTTAGAATAGACACCTTTGAATCAATGGAACCCATAGAGGTGTTGACTCACCAAATCTCCATTGAGTCAGTGGGCCTGCTCTAGCACTATGCTAAGAAAAAGGATTAGGTCAAAGTGTTTATCTTACTCAGCCTGTTTTAAATTTTTCCACAAAGCTTGACCTAGGCGAATGTGTTGGGAACTGCATAGGAAAAATAAATGGAAAAATTTTGTGGCTTTGGCAGATAACAAATAATGTACGCTCAGTGCTTATCTATGGTATAGAAGAAGTGTAGAAGTGTTCATTTCTCTGTTAGAAACCTCTGCTGTAGCCTTAAGCCAAACAAATAACCATCTCTATAAATGAACTTCAGAATACTGAAAGTGAGAAAACTAAGTGCATTATAATGATTGGTTGTCTGTCCAATTACATACTGACTGACTTAAGTGGATAATTATTAGTCTTTTGCAGTTTAATGGAGATAAAATAGTCCATTGAATTCGCATTGGGGAATGTGTCTCTATTCAGAAAAAGATACTGATAAACTGATGGAAAATGGGCATTTCTCCACTATCAGTTACATTTGAATTTTCAGTAAAAATCGATAATTTTGAGCTTACTAATATCTTTCCATTAGACAAACTTCGTGGAGAGATCAACAAGGTGGTGAATAAGTACATTGATCAAGGCATTGCAGAGTTAGTGCCTGGTGTGCTATTTGTGGATGAAGTACACATGCTGGATATTGAGTGTTTCACGTATTTGCACCGAGCACTGGAATCTTCAATTGCTCCGATTGTCATCTTTGCTTCCAACCGAGGGAACTGTGTAATCAGGTACAGTGCTTAAAGCTTAGTCCTGCATGATTTTCGTCTTCCCATAAGCTTCAGTGTTAGCTGGTTCAGCACAAAGAGCTATGATCTCTGGAAGCTTTTTATCCTTGGTGCTGATACACCCGTGATAATCATCTTGATGGGTCACAACCATATCTGTTGCTGCAGGGCTGCCTGAGGGCTTCACTGCAGGGAAAAATGTACCTCACATTGCAATGACCAAGAATTCATTTCTTGGATAAAGCCAGTTTTTCTGAAGCTCCCCACCCCCCACTCCATTCATGTTTTTACTTTTGGTCTTCTCCTTGACAGTTGCCCTGCTTTGTTGCTTCAGAATGTTCTTAATATTGCTCCGAAGATCATTTTTTAAAGCTTTGGTACTATCTACTATGCTATAGCTGCTGCGCCACCTTTTTCCTTCAGTGGTGCAATCCTTGTAAATGCTTGTCTCTCACCACAAAAGTAAGGTTTCTTTCTTACTGTCAGATCTTAATTTAATTTTCCAGTAACTTTGTATGGAACTCCTTTGCCTACATTTTCCATTATGATAAAAAATTGTGGAATATATTTCTTAATTCAATACATATAACTTTCTTGTCTTGCTAATTCCTCTCTATCCCCTTTTCTTATTCTGTTGCATCATAAAAGTTGTTTTGATTTTAATGGTATTTTTAATAATCATCATCACCATCATTGGAGACTTTGGATTACTGCCAGTACAGCAGGTAGTAGACGAGTAAAAAAGAAGCCTAAATGATTATATTAGTACAAGTAGAGAAAAATTACTTAAGACAGTGAAAATGGTGATTTTGAAAACAACAGAAACAAAGGTTCAATATAGGAAAGAACAATTTGAAAATAAATTAAAGAGTTAGAAAAATAAACCACTACATGGACAACACCTGAAAAATATTGATGGAAAGCATGATCATAATTTAACATGGGCATGGCTAAAACTGGGGACCCTTAAGAAAGAAACCGAAGGCTTGCTTTTTGCTGCATAAGAACAAGCTCTCCAAACCAACATGATGAAAGCTAAGATCCAAGGAATTAGTGCTAACAGGAAATGTCAACTCAGGCAAAAAAAAAAAAAAGATAAAACTGTGTCACACCTCATCTGCGAATGTCCAAAGATTGCACAAACAGATTACAAAATTAGACATGAGAGTAACAAAATTAGTGCTCTGGTCATCATGAAAAAATATAGCTTGCCAGCCACCAAAAACCCATGGGAACACCAGGTAGAGAAGGTGTCAGAAAATGAGGAAGTCAAGATCTGCGAGATTTCTGGATCCAGATGGATAGACACCTTGAACATAACACACGAGACGTATTAATAGAATGAAGAAATATCTGGATCATTGACATACAATTCCAGGGGATGCCAGAGATGAAAAAAAAATTGGAAAAACTAACAAAGTACAGAGACCTGGCACTCGAATCATCTTGCTTGTGGATGGAACACACTTTAGTGGTCCCCGTAGTCATTGAGGATTTGGGACCAATATCAAGAAATTTCACACAGTACTATAAGCAGTTGCAGATTTCAGAAATCTCAAAAAAATGGCAAAATTAGGAATAGCATACATACTGTGACTTAGAAAGAGTAACAGTATGTATGCTAGAGGCTTAGTATTTTGTTTAAACTTCTATATGTTATATATTACCATTCAGTGTTTTTATAGTTTTGATTGACTGCACCTGGTGTTTTTTAATAATAATAATAATAATAATAATAATAATAATAATAATAATAATAATAATAATAATAATAATAATAATAATAATAAAAACTACCTTCCTTACTCAAGGATTAAGTTATATCCTGCATGGCATACTGCTCACAGCTAAATACTGGTCAGGTAACTTTCAGGTATTATTGGAATGGTCCTTGTCTTTCCTTTTATTAAAAATACCAGTCAAAGATCCAATCGTGTTTTTCGTATTAGTCTACACACATATCTTTACTTTGTCTGCTTATGGCATTTTTTTTCTCAGACTGCCTGATCACATTAAATGCATGCATCATCTTTTTTTCAGTATGATCAGGTTAGCCTCAGAAGCCTAAAACAGTGGCAACACAATACAGTGGTGCCTCGCTTAGTGAGGTCAATCCGTTCCGGATTAACCCTCGCTCAGCGAATCCATCGCTAAGTGAAACAAAAAAGCCCATAGGAACGTATTAAAAATGATTTAATACGTTCCTATGGACTTAAAACTCACAGTTGTGCGAGTTTCCTCCATTGTGGCGGCCATTTTGGATGCCTCGTTAGCGAGGCAAAACAGCGGTCGCCATTTTGTTTTAGTGGCGGCCATTTTGGAACCGCCGATCAGCTGTTCGCTATGCTTTGATCGCGTCCGCGCGATCATCGCATAGCGAAAAAAGCCCATAGGGGCCATCGCTGAGCGAACGCTCCAGCGATGGCCTGGGACCCTTCGTTACGCGGTTTCATCGCATAGCGAAGCGTTCGCTATGCGAGGCAGCACTGTAAATCATTTTTTTGTATTAATTACTATAAAATTATTACTTTTGGCATTTCATTCTCTAGTAAAAAAAAAACGGAAAACAGCTCTCTTACTCTGCTGTTAGTAACTGGCCATAAAAAGTATGCCAAATGGTGGGACTCATCCTTTCTTGCTATTGTTGCTTGATGTCTATGATAGGGGTGGAAAGCCTCATGCTTGTATACCTTATGCCAAATATAGAGGAAACTCTAGAATTTTAGTACAGCTGTTACAAGATAGCACTGTTTCATGAGTCTGTACAATTTTCTATTACTGCATGAGTTAAATACATTATTTGCTGGAAAAGGAGACTCTACCAATTTGTATTCCTTATAGGGGTCATAAATTATAACAGAGGCCCCCAACCCCCAGTCTGAGGCCTGGAGCCAATCTGTGGCCTGAGCTGGACCGGGCTGCGGAGACAAATGTTCCGCCCCACCTGCCGCATGTACTCACCCCCACACAGCCAATTTGTGCATGCGCGCATGCTCCAGTGCACCCGTGCGAGCGCCGCGTCGCCGTTTGTGCATCCACATAAACACCGTGTGTCATTCACGCATGCACACAACCGCGGCGGTGCCCCACCTTCCCTAGCCGGTCCGCGGGGTGAAAAATATTGGAGATCCCTGAGTAATATATCCTTTTTGGACTGCCTCCATTTTTACAATTATCCACCAACTTATTTTGCAAAATTGGTTACCTGCATCACAGTCAGGTGTAGGAGACTTTTTGTGTGCACTCCCATCTATGCAGTTGTCTTTTTTTAAAAAAGCATTAAGCTTGTTTTGTCCACTTTTAAGACACCAAGGGAGGGGATTTAATGTCTAGGCGTTGATATATAAGCACTGTTACACTACTCCATGTCAGAGTATTTCCATTCTCTTCTATTCCTAGTGGGAAAGGGACGGAGCCCACTTTTCTCTTTAGTATCTGACCTCACATTGAATCCCCTACCTGCTATGCTTTCATTTCAGATTTTTAAATCATAAATTACTGTATCCACAGTAATTTACCATCATAAATTGCCAGTAGTTTACCATCAGAATCTTCAGCATTATCATTTGCATGTTCCATTTTTGGCCTGCCTTCATAGAACAGATAAGGATAGCCTTTTGCCTAGCAGTAGTTGATCTTCTATATAAAAAAGAATTGCATTGGTGTACATATCATGGATAATTGCAGTGGCATGTTCTAAGTGGCATTTCCCTCTGGCCTCCCAATCCTCTGTCTTATCAGTAGATTTATACCTGGGCTGTGTTCCTCTTTTGAGCTCCTGGCATACAATAATTTCACTCTGTTTTCTGAAGTATAATTAGACCTCCATAGGACTACAGTTTGTACAGATTAGATTTTCTTGTGCGCCATAATTCTCTAGTGAATATATTCTTGCATGACACATTAGTAAGAATATATGCTCTTGATTTGGATGATTCTGCAATTTAGTTTAAAAAGAGAGGGTGTGAAAAACAATCTTATACAGCTTATTGTATACTCTTTCTTTCAACCACCCCATTCCACCATCAAATAGGATCATAGTTTTCTGTTAACTGAATGAAATAGTTTCAAGTGAAGCTTGAGTGCCCTCTAACGGAGAGTCAAAGTCTTCTGAAGCTACATTGTTTTGTTTAAACTGTTCTAGTGAGAGGTAGGGAAGGAGAGTTTGACAACATTTGTACTAAAATGATAAATTAAGGTACCTTGCGATGGCAACAAATTCAACAAGCTTATTGTATAACTCCACGCTACATTTTTCAGTTGACTTGCTCACATGTGGAATGTAAACTTATATTTCCCATATGAAGTATCGGAGTGGGGGAGGCAAGGTTTACAAGACTAACTCCTTGAGGCTATGAATCTTCAGCAATCACCAATTAGGAATTTCTTTTCTTTTTGCTCTTCTTAAATGTGTGTGTGGGGGGGTGGATTTCTCCAGCCACCTACCTAATCCCCAGCTATCATGTAAAACTCTTAACTTCATTCCCTTTTTAAAATATTATTCACAGAGGAACAGAAGATATAATATCTCCTCATGGGATACCTTTGGATCTACTGGACAGGGTGATGATAATTAGGACCATGCTATATACACCACAGGAAATGAAGCAGGTAACTTTTTATCAATGTAAAATGTCTCTCTGAAATCTTAAACAATAATGAAGCCTGTGGTCAGGTGTCAATGCAGCTGACTTCTTTCCTTTCGAAAACTGAATACTTTTAGGATTCATTTCTAGCCGGTTTTTAGGTCCTGTGATATTGTCTAGAATTTCTGAAACCAAAACTTCACTTAACGGTGAATCCAAATTGTAGGTTTCCTCTGTTACAAAATCACCTCTTATGTGACAGTTGGAAATAGTGGAAGATCTATACTTGCTTACATATTGATTTTTGGACTATTAATTAAATATGAAGTATTTTCCATTTCCCTGCTTCTGAGATGAGACAAGATCCAGACAGGCCTGAAATTAAAATAAAAAAAATAATATTCTCCTTTAAAACTCTTAAATATTTTGTTCCACAGTAATTAAAGGGCCCATAAGACACTCCAGTGTTGAAAATCTCATCACTGGAAAAAATGGTTAGCAAAAATACTTAACTGTATGGTGACCACTATGCTGTGTATTATCTCTGTGCAGATGCATTTATTCCTTTGAATTCATCTGATATAGGAACACATTTTCCTTGAACTTCTTTATAAAAGGAATGTTGCATATAGATTCTGATACATTTTGGCTTTAAATCTGTTGTTAGTCTGTTGAGTCAGTGGGAACTTGGTAAGTGAACATTTTACTCAAGCTTCATTGAGCCGTACATCTATTCTAGTTGGAACTAACAATTACATTTAAGTTTTAGTGTTTATTGCTATTATTAAAATAATTCAATATTGCCTTTCTGAAACCCACCAGGGTGGTGTTTTTTATGGCTTAATCTTTCTACATTTGTTCAGTGAAATTGGCATTTTTGTGTCATGGAAAGTGTGGGATTGCATACTCCTGGTCTTCGTGTTATTTTGGTGCTTTGGGTCCTGTATTCTTTTTGCCTGTACAGTATTATCGTGTCCCTCTTTCTAGAGGCCCTTCTGGTGTTTTACACTTCCCAGTGCTTTCAACGACTTTCCAGCATGCAATGGAACGTTTCCTAAGTTTCCAAGACTTCAGCTATGAGGCTCATATTGGGACATGGAACATTGATTATAATCCTTGCATGCTATTATGAGGCATGTTGGCAAAAGTTCTTCATTAGCATCTTAGTGCTGCAGACTGACACCAAACAGGAGCCATTACAGTTTATCATGTCATTTCTTTGTATTATTTAGGAGATAGTGTCAATAGCAGAAAGCATTGTCAACAGATAATAGTCTCTGCTCCTGGATGAGTGCCAAGGTGAAAAAGAGGCATTTATTGAATATAAACGTACTAGCAAAGCTTCATTTTCTTTGGTATGAAGATTCTTTTGTCTGTTACTTTTTTTTCAAAAATATGCTGTGGTATTGATAGCTCGGATGTGTTTGTGTACCTGACAGGTTGGGTCAAGCACATTGATGCAGATTACAATTGAGCTGACCAGAAGATACAGCTGTACACTGAGAGTTTAATCTGTATATTAACATTAAAAGACAATGTAAAAGCCCTGTCATTCTTTGAAAGACTGAAAGTTCAGCAGGAAAACTGAACTGTTCTCTGCACTATTTGAGTTGCACTTTCAGAGGCATAAAGAATGGAGAAAGATGGCACATTATTTCTAGTGACTGTAGTTTTTCTTGAGCTCAGGTCAGTCTTTCCATTTTTTAGGAGTTTTCTATTATAAATTGTATATCACATTAGATCACTCTTGAACCTCCCATGTAGGTTGTTGAATGATGATGGAGGAATCAATGATGTGCCTAAACTAATTTCCCATAGGCTCTTGCATTAAGGGTAAAGTGTTCCTGTGATATTGGGACTTCTTTCTGATGTTCTTAAATAGAAACCTTGCCACTGAACCATTTTTCTAATAAAAAAGAGCTAGAACAGCAAAATGCTGTTTCTACCTACTAAAAATGTAGTATTTACAAGTAATGTTAGCCTTTTTTTGGCACAACTATTGGAGGAGCAAAAAATCTCATTGCTTTTCAGTTAGAGTTCCAGTTACATTTCAATTAAAATTTAAATATCAGAGTAATATCTTGAGTGTCTTACTCATCCATTGTACACTGGAATTTTCAAGCTGTGAAGACTGAATTTGTCAAAATCCTAATAAGAATATGCTATCAAATACAGAAAATAAAGCAATGGCCCATAGGCTGATGAAGAAGCATGGGTGAAGAACCTGCAATTCTAGAAATGCAAGTGATGAAGAACCTGCAATTTTAGAAATGCAAGTGAAAGCTAATCTCAAAGAAGTTGAAAGAAATAAATCAAGAATAGATGGAGATATCAAAATAATTATTCAAACTACAAATCTGTTAAAATCCTAACAAGAATATACCAATAAATATGGGGGGGGGGTAAGATAACGACCCACAAATGGGAAATGTTGAATATACATTCCAGTCCCCAAGAAAAGAGACATCAAGCAGTGCAATAACTATAGGATCATTGCATTTATTTCCCATGCAAACAAAGTGAATCTCCAGGTAGCCTATATAGAGCAGCCTATACTGTATAGAGTGAGAAATAGCCATTGTTCAGGCTGGGAGAAGGAAGAGGTACTAGAGATCATATTTGAAATATGTTGGCTACTGGAATGCACCAAAGAATTTCAGAAGAAAATCAGTCATTAGATTTATAGACTACAGCAAAGCCTTTGACAGTGTTGATCATGAAAAGGTATGTACTGCTGTAAAATAAATTGGTTTGCTTCAGCACTTGATTGTCCTAATGCATTATCTATACTTTGGATAAGAGTATAGGAGAAAATATGGAGAAACAGAATGGCTTCCCATAGGCAGAGGTGTCAGACAAGGCTGTATTTTGTCTCTTCTATTTGTTCAGTCTGTATGCAGAATATATCATATGGAAGGCTAGACTGTATTCAAATAAAGGCAGAGTGAAAGTTGATGGAAGAAACATCAGTAACATAAGAAGTTCTAATGATACAATCTTACTGGCAGAAAGCAGTAGTGATTTGAAATGATTTCTGATCAAAATGGAAGAAGAACGTGCCAGAGCAGGACTGAACATGAAGACAAAAATCATTACTACAGAAGAACTTTAATGCTGACAATGAAGTAATTGAAATTGTTAAAGATTTTGTGTACCTTTATTCAGTCATCAGTTCAAGGGAGACTGTGGCCAAAAATCAGATGACTGAAACTTGGAAGGGCAGCAATGGAAGAATTAGAAAATATCATCAAGTGTAAAGAACATGTCATTGGAAATCAAAACCAAGATCATCCAAGCTATCATATTCCTGATCACTATGTACACATGTGGAAGCTGGACAGTGAAGAAAGCTGGATAGGAAAAAATGATTAATTTGAAATATGGTTCTGGAAGAGAGCTTTGTGGATACCTTGGAGTGCCAGAAAGACAAACAAGTAGGCCCAAGGGCAAATGAAGCCTCAACTATCTCTGGATGCAAAAATGAAGAAGCTGAGGCTGTTGTATTTTGAGTAGATTATGGAAAGCAAGATTCTCTGGGAAAAAAACAATAATGCTAGGAAGGATTGTGGACAGGAGGAAAAGAGGAAGACAAAATATGAGGTGGATTAACTCCATAAAGGAAGCCATGATCTCAGGTTACTTGATGGAACACAGCTCCAGCAAAAATGGGGCATTTCCTCCAAGGAGAATTCGGATTACTGAGCTAATTTGTTTAATGTTCTTATTATAATTACGTAATAACTGACCCCCAGTTGAAGAGGATGGGCAGGGAAAAAAGAAGACACCCCTGTCTTTTTCCCCCACCCTTCTGACAAGTTTCATCAATTTATCATCCACCTGAAGAGAGATATTTCCACAGTATCACTTGACTGGACCTGGAACAATGGACCTAAGTCTGAAGCACAGTCAAGTAAATGTCCAAACATTTCAGTGTCTTCCATCAACATTGCATTGGTTCCAGTGGAATGTATGTTGAGTTATTTTGTATGGGATGCATATCAGAGTAGTCTCTCCCGTTAAAAATAGCACAGACCACTTCTGGATATACCTATTTATTCTGAAGCTTTTTAAAAGCAGATGTAATTTGCTCTCACAGGGAAGAAAAGTCCTATACAGAGGGAGCATTGAATTCAAGTTCTCTTTAGGAGACCGCACAGGCATACAGAATCCTTTAAAGTACAGTACAAAACTCAACTTGCAAATGTAGAAAATACTAATGCTTAACTATCATTCAGACATTTCTGAGTAGTATTCACGGTAATCTGTTGTAGCAAGAACCACAGTCTCCTGGAATCTTAAAGGCAAGTTTTATTTGGAATCAGTCTGGGGTGACCACCTTCCAGAGATCCAGGAACCACAGATACCTACCCTTAGATTTGGGGGGGGGTCATCATACCCACTCCCATGTCCCTCCTCCTCTCCCCTGTCTTCATGCTCAGTCCTGCTCTGGCACTTTATTTTTTATGAAAAATGTTTAGTCCAAAGACTCTGCATATCCTCCTGTGGTAGCAAAGACCACTTTCACTATTTTAACAGGATGCTCCTGAGTTGTTCTAAATTATTTCCAGTTTGGAAGAGAGCTCACCCAGCCTAAAAGAGTTCAAGGGCTGGCAAAACTTGGTGACCTGCCCCTGCACTCCCAGGAGGGAGCAAGGGAACCTTCTGGGGGGGGGGGAATGTTAATTTTAGTTTACTGAGAGTGCTGTGAGACCCAGGGGGGCTGCATGCAGCCTGCACTTTGCTTACATCTGGCAAACGTTTTATGGACTGTGTGATGGACAGGTAATTTGTCTGTCCTCCAGAAAGCTTCTTAATCAGTTAAATCATGGCAAACCACAGCGTATCAGGTGGGAGTGGGAGATTTAGAAAGAAAGGACTGACAGTTTAACAGATAAGGTTTAGACCTGGCTTAGTTTCCCTCAAGATCAGGAAAGGCTCTGGAAGGGGCTAGGAGAGCTTTTCACAGTGTTAATAAAAGCACATAGCCTTTCTAGAAGGGATTGGCATGTTCAGAGAAAAATTCAGTTATTCACATCCCTGTTCACATTGTTATATTGAATCTGTAAACGTGTCATAGAAGTAAGTCCTAACCCTTAAATAAAATAACCAAGTGTCATCCCTAGTTGAGATTTTTGAAAATAAATTTCAATTTCAGTTCTGCAATCTTTACATTTATTCCCCAGTTAGGGGATGAATGTTTTAGAGGAACCTTACAAATATTAATGGCATCTGGTTTATGTGTTACACTATCAACTCTATAAAATACTATTGTGTGTCATAGTAAACACTAGAGAGAGTTTAAAGATAGCTCATGGTCTCTGTCACATTTTCATCTTCCCATCTTCAGTAAAGGAGTGTCACAGAGTGGAACCCATTGATTCTTGCATATAATTTCAAAGGAGAAGATAAAACACTGTTGACTGTGGCATGCAGTAAATTCATACTTGCTATACAGACGTCATTTGTTGGATTCAGTTTCTTTTGTTTTTCCAATGGAGCAAGTACTACACTGGTAAACCAAATCAGTAGAATAGAATCATAGAGTAGGAAAGGGCTTATGAGGCCATCAAGTCCAGCCCCCCCTGTTTACTACAGGAATCCAAATCAAACTATATATCTGGCAGATGGTTGTCTGATTTTGTATCGAATCCTTCAGCATATCTTGCCACCTTCCAAAGTTACTGTTCCATTGTCATACTGGTCTAACAGTTAGGAAATTTTTCCTAATATTCAACCAAAATCTGGCTTCCTGATTTACATTATTTCATGTCCTGCACTCTGGAATGATGGAGAAAATGCCCAGTTCTTTCATTCTTTCCTCATATGGTTTGGTTTCTAGTCCTCGATGATCCTTCTTGCCCTCCTTTGAACTTGTTTCAGTTTGTTTGCATTCTTTTTAAATTATGGTGTCCAAAACTGGATACAGAACTAAAAATGAGGCCTAACTAATGGAACCTAGTACTTCAAGGGATTTTTGGACAATTTTTAACAAGAAATTCTGCCTTCAAATTTGGCATCAATTTCCATTTTAATTTCTGAAACTATTGGAATCCAAAGCAGCTGCTGTTCGGGCGGATTCAAAGATTTTGTGCATAATCCCTGATTTATGCTTTCTTTTTCGAAAAGGAGATCTCATTCCCTATTCTTAATTTTCTTTTAAAACTTAACCTGAACTTGCAATGCGGCATGGTAAGTTGCTAATAAGGAAACACAAGCCTAGAGCCAGTTGGGACGTATAGCTTCTTGATTCACAGTCCAGATTCATTTGCTTTGCCACGCAGGAAAAGTTCTGGGGGCAGGGAATAGCCACACATACAAGATTCCTTAATCATGTTTGTCTCAGTTTAGAGCATTCTAAAAGTAACTTCAAGTTGTAATGTTCTTTTTAAAAAAATATTAATCATCCTTCCCCCCACCTCTTCTCTTCTACACGGATTCCCTTGGTGCATTTTTATGGCTTTAATTTAAACGAGTGCTTCTTGATATCTTGTTTACAAAGCTGCCAAAGTGAAAAATACCTGTATTATATGAGACTCGCAGTTCCAGAGTTATCTCAACACTACAACACAACATCATTATCCAGTCTGCCCCTTATCACTCAGCTGGTAATACAGACTGCAGGGAGCCTAGTGCCACTTTTGTTACAGCTCTATATGCTCAGGCTTCTTGGTGATATCTTCTTCTTCAACTTTACAAAGATCTTCAAACCGGTACAAGCTGGAGACTGTTCTTGATAGATTAGATTTATCTGAATGGGTTTGTGGAGTAGGTGAACCTTACAGGCTAACTTTTTTTTGTATTTATTTAACCATCTTATTTGTTAAGAAGCTAGAAAGTCTGATGTGGATTTGGGCAGCAAAAGGGCTGTTGAGACTTTACAATAAAGTTGTGCTGTACAGTATTCCAAGTGAGATGTGGATGATCTGTGATCCTATACCTTAGTTTGTGTATATACCTGTTTGCACTATTTGAGCAATAAAAGACATTCTGTATGATTGTTATCATATATTCTCCCCATTGTAGGCACAGGGATCTTTGCATAGGTATTGCAGAAATTCAGATAAACCCATCTGCCTCCTAGGTGTTTTTTAATCCTATAGGACAACTTCTGACTGCATACTCAAGTTTTAAGAAAACATGTTAAAAATCAAAACTGACACAAATTTCATTTCTGTACTTTGTTTTTTATTAGATTATAAAACTTCGAGCCCAGACAGAGAGTATTAATATTAGTGAAGAGGCATTGAATCACCTTGGGGAAATTGGCACTAAAACAACATTAAGGTAAGCATATTATGTTATTATGAGCTTTTAATCATGATTAATTTTGAAAGTGGCATGAACATGGACAGGAAGAGGTATCTGGAATAACCAACACACAGCTACAAATTTCATGGTGGAATATTTCATTTATCCAAGTTTAAAGTTCCTCCCAGCCCTAAATAACCTGCTTTATCCAGGGACAATTATTTCTCTACTTGAGGAAGATTCTTCTTGTTATTGACATGCTAAAACCGCACATAGGTACTTGCAACATAATAACAGCGATAAAAATGCTTTGTAGGAATCAGCATCTAGCCTGTTAAAAACTTCCCTGTAGTGATTTCCCATACAGTTAATTAAAGTCTTTCTTCTCTTAACTCCACACTGCTCATAGTGATCTGGTAAATTATATTTACTGGGTTATGTCATCACAGGCAGATATCAGCTCTTCTTGTAACCCCTCATAGATGACCAGATGATTGTTATCAAGCTAACAGACTGTCAAACGTTTTGGCACAATTAGCAAGTTGCAGACTAGATCAACATAGTCATTGCTGATACAATTCTGTAGCTATACCAATGTTCTTAATGGGTTCAACTGAAAGGAGTTTTTATTATGTGCCATTGTCATTTCTGCCTTATGGAGACCTCCAGAATGTTGTATCACTAACAGCCACACTTAGATCTTGTAAACTAAAGGTCATGGCTTCCTTTATTGAGTTAATCTTTCTGATACTTGCTTTTCTTCTTTTCCTACTGCTTTCAAATTTTCTACCATTATTGTAATTTCTAGTGAATTATAATAAGTCCAAAGTCTTTATTTTCGTACAGGAATAGCTTTTTTGCATTCTTTCCTGACAATATCTCAGGTCTTAATTCACAGCTGTTCTGGTTCATGATCCATTAAAGTATAATGATGCAAATATCCTTCAGCAATTATATATCTAACGTAGATGGGAGTGATGGTATGCTAATAGGTTTTTAAATGAAGTCTGATATAGTTGTTCAGACTGCATTTCTAACTGCTTGTGTGTGTCTCATCTCACTTAATGCAACACTGTTTCTTCTGATAAAAGTAACATATCTTTTAATTATCTTTATAAAATTACCAATTCTAGTTCATTTTAGTACACTTACCCCCACGTGCTACAATATGTAAATATGCAATTTCTTGTTTTACAACAGCAAGCTTACCATGATAATACTTCTCACATTTCATAGTCCATTTATATGTTTTTTACATCATGGGATTCTTCTTTAAACTCTGTGTTCATCAGCAACTAAATATCTTTCAGCTTTAATCCAGTTGCTTCTTAGTGACTGTGCTATTCAGACTTATCCTTTGTTCTTCCCTCAAAGCTGATTAGGTTCTTTCTAACTAGTGAATCTCATCTCCCAACACAATCTTTTGTTTAAGTTTGGATTGGATTGTCATAGAGTTTTTGACATACAAATATTCCTTTCTTGTTAAGTAAATCTTTGGCTTTTGTCCCAAGAGTTTAATTTTCCCAGTTACAAAATGTGTTGAACATTTCTGAAAATTGAATATATTCCTAATGAAAAATATTTCTGTGCCTGTTTTTTGGGGGACTTCTCTGTATTCTTATCTGTCTGTCACCCTGGCCAACTAGTGACAAGCCACTACTCTGGGCAGCTGAACAAAAGAAATTAACAAAAGTATACAAAGAACAAAATTAAAATGACAAGCAAAAAGCCCCTACTCTCTAGCAAAGACTGCTTAATTCCCATGATGGTAGAAATAATAATAATAAATAATAAACAACACACATAGGGCTGTCACATTACATAGTAGTTCAGTTTAAAATGGGATAGATTTTTCAAAGGCCTGGGTAAAAAGTTATGTTTTAATTTGCTTCCCGAAGCCAAAGAGGGAAAGGGTCTGATGCACCTCCATTACAAGGGAATGCTATAATGAGATGGTGATGGCTGAGAAGGCCTAGTTCATAGTTGACAATTTCTGGGTCTCCATTGGTGTTGCCATGTGCAACATCAAGGATAGGGGGTACGGGAGGGACAAGAGGTTGATATGAGGGAGAGGTGCTCTTATTAGGTAGCAAGGTCCTAAACCACATAGGTTTTTATAGGTTGACATTAGCAGCTTGAATTTGGCCCAGAATCATACTAGCAGGCAGTGCAGACAGGCCAGGCCAGACAAAATATGATCAAATTTTGATTGTCTTGGGACGAACCTAGCCACTGTGTTTTGCACTTGCTGCAGCTTCCGAACTACCTTCAAATGCAGTCCCATGTAGAGAGCATTGCAATAGTCAGTCCTTGAGATTACCAACGCATGAACCAGTGTTCTTAGGGACTTCCTGTTGAGATAGGGGCAAAGGTGGGCAATCTGCCAGAGATGGATGAATTGTAGTTGGTATGTTTGTTTGATAAATGCTTTATTTACTTGGCCGTAGGTACTCTGTGCAGTTACTTACTCCAGCCAATCTACTAGCCAAGATAAATGGGAAAGACAGCATAGAAAAGGAGCATGTTGAAGAAATAAATGAACTCTTCTATGATGCCAAATCCTCAGCAAAAATCCTGGCTGATCAACAAGAGAAGTACATGAAGTAAAGAAGATTGTTCACCTTCATAGTCTTCAGAGACTTGTTTTAACTAAATCCATGATAACATGTTAACATCTGTTTGCTGAAACTGAAAAATTCTGGAATGTGAAAACAAAGATGTAGAATCTCCGTTCTTCCTACTTCATTGATAGGGATTGAAATGAAATACTGTAGTATCCTAGTACAGTATTTCTTATTTTGAGTGCCTATACGAAATGGATGCAGCTGGCATATCCTTGTGTCCCTACTTTAGTTTTCATTGCTAAATTGTTCCATTGATTAAAATAGCCTGTTTTCTTTGATTTTTGCATTAAAATAATTGGAAATGTCTTTATTTTTCCTCTATTTGTATAGAGAAGTTTCACTCTTGCACCTTCTTTGGGATCCAACGCAAATCTGCCATCTTAGTAAAAGTGGATAAGCTAGTAGAAGTTATGCTCTTGCAAATGTTGTAATTCTTTGGAACCCAAACAGAAGGTCACTAATTTGGTTTGCAAAGTGGGGAGGACACATGTCAGGTAGGCTGTGGCAGCAGGGGAAGGAGGAGGGAGACAAAAGCATAGCATATAATGCTAGGATTGAGCAGACTGCTCCTGATTAGATTAAGCATCCTTCAGTCTCGAGAGACTATGGTAACAGGCTCTGTATGGAGGACTTGGAACAAACAGCGTCTAGTGTGGCTGAGAAGACCAATTTGAGAGTGGCAACCCCTTTCACACTGAAGACAAACACAGTCTGTCCCCTTTCCAGCTCCCTGATTTTGCTGGGTTTAGGACTGCCTCTTTGCCTTGGCCTGCTGGACAAGAGTCTCTTCAAATTGGGAGAGGCCGTTATGCACCACCTGCCTCCAGGCTGAATGCTCAGATGTCAGGGTTTCCCATCTGTTCTGGTCCATTCCTAAGGCCTTCAGATCCTGCGTGCAATATCCTTGTATCGCAGCTGTGGTCTCCCTCTGGGGCAATTTCCCTGCACTAATTCTCCATATAGGAGATCTTTTGGAATCTGACCATCATCCATTCTCACGACATGCCCAAGCCAACTGCTCCTGAATAGTTATTTATTAGGCTAGTGTTGGGTATTAAGTTGTTATCCTGTTACAAAAGAAGTGCAGCGTGTTCCTGTAATTATAATAGTAGGGAGCAAATGAATGTTTTTTTCAAAATCATTAAGAAGTCTAGGCTACAGTGGCATGTATAACTGGAAGGAAATCCCACTGAATTCAGCAGGGCTTCCTTCGGAGTAGTAACGTAAGATTGCCGTATTTTTGGCACTTTGGCTTCTGCATATTATGTCTGCAATTGATCCAGCCTACAAGCATACTCAAAAGAGTTCAACCAAATTCAGTGGCACTTATTTTTCTAGTAAGGCTGCATTCCTGATTTCTTGTCCATAAAAAAGCCCCATTTATTTCAAAGAGACTTACCAGCCGAGTCTGGAGGTGCAGAAATACAGGCTAAGTTACCCCTTGGAAACTGAATGGGACTCACTTGAAAGTACATTGATGCTGGCCTTCCTATTTAAAGAGAAAGAATGAGATTTGGGGGGAAGTACAATATATTGTGTGCCATCAAGTTGATTCCAACTTATGGTGACCCTTTCCAGGGTTTTTGTGGCAGAGAATACACAGAAGTAGCTTACCGTTCCCTTCTTCTGGGGATGTCCCCGGATTGTGCAGCTTGGCCATGGCTGCAGAGGCTGGCTCTTATCACAGGAGGCACAGGGAGTATTTGAACTACAGTACTGCAGCCAGATACATACAAAACATGCAAGAGAAGCTTTCTGTCTCTCTTTGCAGTTCTCTCATTCTGTTGCTCCCTTCTCTTCATTCCACACTTCTTTCTCTTCCCAGCTTTCATGTGGCTCCTCTTTCTCTTTCCCTCCTCATTCTCTTCATGGCTCCTCTCTCTGTGGCTCTTTGTGTTTGTTCACTTGTTCAATGACACATATTTGTACTATTGTAAACCTGAAATCCCATTCTACCATCTTGCTCAGAAGTATACCCCGTCCATCTCAATAAGATGTGTTAGTTTCCTGAACTACTGGTAAGAAGCTTGGGCAATTGCTACAGAACACTATAGTAAAAATGTGCATCAAGAGTTTTAGGAACATTTCCCCATGTAAAATAAGTATCTTTAATGTCCCATGTCTTCACAATGACAGGCCAAATCAATTTCACATAGAAAAAGCAGGTAGCAGGAATCATTTTCTTTTCAAGAAGTAATGGTAGGCATTTGAAAAATAATTACTTAATTTGTTATGAGCGGTTTAAAAAAGCTGTAGAAAAACAGTGGGAAGGCTTTTGTTAAAAAGTCAGAACTTTAAAAGTATTTGCTCAACCTTGAAAATATAATCTGTTTTCTTCGCTCCATAAGATGCACAGACTTTCCACCCCCCTGTTTTGTGGGAAAAAAGTGAGTCTTATGGTGCAAAAAATACAGTAATTTGTTATGAGCTTTGATTCCAAGCTGTAGAAAAACAGTGGGAAGGCTTTTGTTAAAAAGTCAGAACTTTAAAAGTATTTGCTCAACCTTCTCCAAATTTCACACAACTCAAGCCCATGCTGTCTACAGTCGTTCTGCCAAATCGTTCTGAGGCAAGAACCCATTCAAGAGTTTATATTTTTGTTTCAACTGTTCCCTTCCTATTGGTCATGGCTCATGAAATGCTAGGAAGGCTTTTGTTAAAAAGTCAGAACTTTTTGCTCAACCTCCAAATTTCACACAACTCAAGCCCATGCTGTCTACAGTCGTTCTGCCAAATCGTTCTGAGGCAAGAACCCATTCAAGAATTTATATTTTTGTTTCAACTGTTCCTATTGGTCATGGCTCATGAAATGCTGTATTGATTGGTAATGCAGTATCAGACGTATGCGTTCATGTGCACCTGTAATGCAGTAGGAAGATGGTTATAGAGCCCAGGTACCTTGAAATGCCTTGTACAAATGAGCCAAGTTACAAACGTCAACCCAAGACTCTTCTAGAGATTTAGTATCCTCACCTGAAATTCAAGTAATGAACTTTTTACACTACCCACTTTGCACGGAGTCGATTTCTACTCTCAGTTTTTTTCAGATCTATAGTCTATAAGTAATGGTATCAGGCACACATACTATTAGCTCTGTGACCATTAAGCAAAGCAAAGTGTACTGCTTATATACTGCCCCATAGTGCATCGAGCACTCTCTGGGCTTGGGATTGAACCCCGGGCTGTGAGCAGTTTTGGCTGCAGTACAGCTGTTTAACTACTGCACCACGAGGCTCTTCACAAAATCTACAGCTAGTTGGAACAGAAATATTTCCATAATCTTGCATGTTTCTTTATCCATGCTTCTCAGGATGAATGCAACCACTAATGTAGTCCTTAAAGCAACAATACTATTTCAGCTCTATGAAAACTGAACATATAACCAGCTGATAAATATTCTTTAAAAGTCCAACATAGTTTTTAAAATGCATAATTTATTATATGCACAGTTTACTCTGAATTACAGGCTATTGTGAAGTATATTCAGCTGCTAGAAATGTCATATCAAGATGTCTATTATGCAACTGATAATATTTCCAATCAGGTTTTAGCAGCTTAGTCCTTGAAAGACTTAATACTGTACACTCTTTCATAGTAAAATATAATCACTTGCCATATAGGTCTATTGATTTCTTATAATTAAGTCATCTGCCTCTGATTCTTAGCTGTGAGAGTTCTCTAGATGGCAACAGGTGAAATGAATGTTATGCATGATAGGAGAAATAGCTGAAGTAAATTTTACATTCTTCTTTCTCACACTAGATTTCCTTTCAAAAAATCTGTGGTACATTGATAGCTGTTAGTGAACAAGTCAGCTGTTGAAGAACACTGGTTTCTGAACTTGGAGAGGTGGTGTTTTTTTTTTGTCAAATTGTTATATGTGATGGCATCGGTAATTCATTGCTTTTTAAAAGTATGCCAAATGGACTGCAGAATATGCACAGAGAAACCGAATCATTTGCTGCAATTACCGTTTTCGCACTGTCCATTATGAAGTTGTGTTCTCAGAAACAATTTAAAAGCAGGGTAATGAATGATTCAACTTTCAGAGTGACATGGGAAGAGAAATATGCATATCTTACAAGTCAGTCAGACTTCTAGAAAACATGCAGAGAAGAAACTTCAATATCACAAACCCTATTGTGAAATTTCCAAGTGGACTCTGACATTTAGTATAGCCCTTGCAACATCACCCGGGGGGGGGGCACAATGGATTTAATGCACATTTGTCTTCCCGCACTAGCTTGGAAAGCTGAGTCATTCATTCATCTGCTTTTATGAAATCATAGACTATGCAAAGTAGCTGCATACTTCAAAGTAATTATGTATTTTAATGACTTACATTCTGTTTTTTTTTCCTATCAATAAACAAAACAAAACATTCCCTGGGTAGCATAACACAATATATAATAATTTAAAAACTTAAAAAATGGTGAAAGCAGCAAATAAAGACTCCGATATTAAAATACTGTATACTCTGATTGTAAATATAGGTTTACAGAGGATTTTTTTCTTTTTAAGAGCAAGTAGCAAGGGGGGCAAACAACCTCTGTGGAAGAGTTTTTTGCGGTTTGGAAATCAGTTGTAACCACAAAGAGGCCTCAGTATGCAAGCTGACCAATATCAGGATGCAGAGGAGAAATATACTCATGCTTATAAAATGATATATCCCTTGAAATATTCTGGACCAAAAGGACTGATAGATTTCAAGAAATCTCCAGAATCCTGAAGTGGTCCCTGGTGAATTATCAAAATAGGCATGGCAGCTGGGGATCAGACCAAATTTCTTCTCACTGAGTATTTTCCCCAGTAGGCTGCCAACTGGCTAAAGCAGCTTTGGAGAAATTTTGACTCTCCAAAGGTTTTGGCCCGCCACTCCCAGAATATCTTGGTGTTAGTCTTGCTTGAGGAGCCAGTGGACAGTTTTTTAAAAATCTGGAGGACTTCCTGTCCCCAACTCAACTGTAGAGTCTACAGACTACTTTTATTGATGATGAGAGAGTGGAAAATGGAGACACGCCCATCACCCAGAGGGGCCACAATGGTTTTTAATGCAAAAGGGCTTTAGTAACGTACTTATTTCACTGTATTTCCTCCAATAAGATTTCAGTTGAGGACGGTAATTAGTTCCTTAGTTTGTCTTGAAGAGTACACACAGGAGTGGCTTATTGTTTTGCTCCCATTTGTGGTACTCTCCTGGTTTAAAATAAGTATGAGTTCAGTGAAGGAAGCAGTTAAGATATATGTAAATACTTTCTTCCTAACTGTTTTGCATATCTAGGAGGATACTCTAAATACTAACTAGA